TTTTGGACCCTGACCCCGCGGATCTGCGTGAGGGGTGGCACCGAATTTCAGAAATGTGGCAAATCCCCTGTGTTTTTGGACCCTGACCCCGCGGATCTGCGTGAGGGGTGGCACCGAATTTCAGAAATGTGGCAAATCCCATGTGTTTTTGGACCCTGACCCCGCGGATCTGCGTGAGGGGTGGCACCGAATTTCAGAAATGTGGCAAATCCCCTGTGTTTTTGGACCCTGACCCCGCGGATCTGCGTGAGGGGTGGCACCGAATTTCAGAAATGTGGCAAATCCCCTGTGTTTTTGGACCCTGACCCCGCGGATCTGCGTGAGGGGTGGCACCGAATTTCAGAAATGTGGCAAATCCCTGTGTTTTTGGACCCTGACCCCGCGGATCTGCGTGAGGGGTGGCACCGAATTTCAGAAATGTGGCAAATCCCATGTGTTTTTGGACCCTGACCCCGCGGATCTGCGTGAGGGGTGGCACCGAATTTCAGAAATGTGGCAAATCCCCTGTGTTTTTGGACCCTGACCCCGCGGATCTGCGTGAGGGGTGGCACCGAATTTCAGAAATGTGGCAAATCCCTGTGTTTTTGGACCCTGACCCCGCGGATCTGCGTGAGGGGTGGCACCGAATTTCAGAAATGTGGCAAATCCCCTGTGTTTTTGGACCCTGACCCCGCGGATCTGCGTGAGGGGTGGCACCGAATTTCAGAAATGTGGCAAATCCCTGTGTTTTTGGACCCTGACCCCGCGGATCTGCGTGAGGGGTGTCGATTTCGAGCCCCCCCAGCAATTCAGACAACGCGCCCAGGGGACGCTGGAAAATCCTGTTTGGGCCTCCCCCCCCCTCGCGCGGTCAATCAACTAGTTACAGTAACCAGCAAGAAGTCAACTAGTTACAGTAACCAGCAAGAAGCAGAACTGTAACACTGGAAACTAGAAACTACAACTGGTACAGGAAACTGCGAATCACGCGCCTACAGCCTGGTGGCCCCACAAGGGGGCCGGCGTATATATATATATAGAGAGAGAGAGAGAGAGAGAAGAAAACAAAACATAAGTAAGAGAGAGAGAGAGAATAACAAAAACAACAGAGAGAGAGAGAGCGGGAGGAACGGAGGGAGGGAGGAAGAGAGAGAAGGAGAGGGAGAGAGCGATCGCAACAAGGCGCACCACGGGTCATCCAGGCCCCCGGGCCGCACGTGCCAGGGAGGCGTTCTTTCGCAAAGCGGGAGGCGCCGCATATGGAACAGCGGTGGTGGCATGACTTCCCCCCGGCGCGGACTGAAGGGGCCCCCGTGTGGAGAAAACTGCCAGGCGGCGGCGATTAGACTTCTCAATGGCCCGTCTGCGCAACCCGTGCAGAGAGAGCCGCCAGCTTTTAGCACGCTTTGGCATTCGCACCTCGGCGCCCGGGGAAGAGCGGCGCCGCCTCGGGGCATCCCCCGCAGCGGCCCAGAAGGAGCAGACGACGGAGCAGGTGCCAGCAGTGTTCACGGGGCCCGATGCGGAAGTGGAGTTAGCTCTGGTTTGCCGCCCCGTGAACGTCAAGAAAGGCCTGGAGGTTGCCGACGCAGCAGACCGGAAGGCCTGCTGTAGGCCGCTCAAAACATTTGTCAATCAGCCGTGCTGATTGTTTTTGGATCTGCTGGGGAGAGGTCACCAGCGGGTTGGCTCGTTAGTGTAGCGCTTGTATGCTGGCGGTGCGAGTTGTCTCGCGGTCCCCTTGTTGCTTGCCGCTGGCCGCAGTGAGGTGCTGCGTGAGGGCTTGCCTGCGGTCCGTGCGTTGCGCGATACCGCTGACGTGGTGGCTGTCACCTCTGCCCTCGCGGCTTTCCCCGTCGGATCCCTGGTGGGCCGAATGGGAGTGCGCGTTGAGTTGAGAGTGATGGGTGGCCATCGTGCCTTGCCGCTCCTGTGCGTTGAGCGGCTGAGCGTTTGCCGTCTCGCCTGGGTGGTTCTCGGCAGCGTTGACAATGCCAAGAGTGGGGTGGCGCAGTGAAAAGAAGTCGCGGTCGTCATCTCCGTTGAGAGAAGCCCCGAGCCCGAGCGGGTCGAGGTCTTTAGCTTCGAAGCCGTTCCTGGGTAGGAACCAGGGGCCATCGAGTGCGCCGTACTGGTCAGGGACTGGCGGCCCGGCCGTCGGAGGTAGTCCTCCCTGTGCACCTGTGCCACGTCCTCCCTGCCTGGTGTTAAGTCGGGCCTGTCCCTCTACAGGAGGAATATTCCTAAATAGTCAAGTAGTGGGGACGATGGTTTGATCATTTGTTTGCTAGTTGGGGGTATCGTTTGACTATTGTTTAATGGTTCGTCCAAAATTGGCCTGTAGGAGGACATGCCCGACTTAAGCCTGGTGGTGAGCGGTGTTGGCTCCATGATGGAGAGGTCAGACATAGAGTAATCACCATGATTTCCTGCTGGGCAGAGGGAGCGTGCGGTATCGCTGGTCAGATATGGCGACGGCCATGCTGTGGACTACAGCGGCGAGCGCCATCTAGCAGCGTCGACCACGTTTTGTGGGATGCTGCGGAGCCTCGCCCCGGCTGTAACGAGTTCAGCAGCGCGGCGGTTGAGAATTTCAGCGATCGGCGTGAGGCGGCCTTCGTTAATGCCTTGCTCCCCAAGGTGGTTTTCGACTTTCTGTATTTTGAACCGTTCAGGCTTAGCAAAAAGCACCAAGTGGACTTTCTGCCACAGGTCCGACTGCGGCCCGACGCGCTGCGGTGGTTTGCCCCTGAGTAGGTCTTCGAAGACGTCGACGACTCAACGACGGCGACTGCTTGGTTGTCAACGGAGACGTGGACCCGCTGCCCCGCCGTGGCAGCGAGGTGCAGCATGGCGGAGGTGTCGGCCCGCTGCGCGGACCGTAGCATGCACGCCAACGCCCGCCCTGGCCAGCAGGGGGTGAACATTGACTAGAACGGGCCCCGTCGGTCGCGGCGTGGACCCATCGGGCACCATGGCCGTCGGCGTACTCTTGGTGGGCATCATCGTCCGCGTCGCCCTGTGCCGGTCTCGGGATGGGCTGTGGGAGCTCGTCCTCCGCCAGAGCAGCTTGGGAGTCGAGCAGGATGGGGTCTTCCTCTAGGAGGCTGCAGTGCCTGGTTTGTGGTGGGAGGTCCTGCCATTATTGATCGGTGATCATGGTCTTGAGGACTGTCCTGTGATCTGCCCAGCGAGGACATCTCCAGACAGTGTGTTCCTAGGTTTCTTTTTCTGTTTCTTATTTTCATTATTCCTTTTCTTCTTGGTCACACCGTCTGCACAGGGGAAATGAGTGAGAGAGACAGGGGGAGAGAGAGGCAAAACGAGAGAGTGAGAGAGAGAGAGAGAGAACAAAATAGAAAGACAGAGGTATGGTGAGAACTCCCATACATGCAATTGCACTCAGAGGGGGGTGTTCTGGGGTCGGCGCTGCGGCTCTTCAGGCCCTCCAGGGGACCCCCCGAAGCCTCCAGAAGCCCTTTCCTCTCTCCTTCCCAGACATCCGAAGCCCGCCACTACCCCCCAACAAAGCGCCTTCGACCCTCCCAGATCATCTCCATTGTCATCCTCCTCCCCCTTTCCCCTTCTTCCTCCGGGCTCCTCCTCTCCTCGCATCTCTCTCTTCCCCCTCGTCCTCACTCCCCACTCCTCCTTGTGCTCCACTCCTTCTCCGCTCGTCGCTGCTACTTTGCCTCTCCCTCTTCCGCCCTATACTCACCATCCCCTCCTCTCGTGCAAACACAAGAAGCATCGACAATGCTGCAATACGTCCGCCCACCCCAATCCCTCCTTCACACTACGGGAAACCCCACTTGCAAGACAAGCGCCCTACGGGCCAGTTATTCAGGCGATAGCCTGGCTTTGAAAAGGAGCCGCCTTATATCTTGACAGAGACGAGAAATGGCAAGAGGTATGGGCATACGGTTCGAGGATCTGCTCAGCGATTGGCAAAGGACGTGCCTGGCGAGTCCCGTCTTGAGACGAAACCGCCTCCACCTGTGTAACTGTCGCAGGACCTGAGCAGTATGGCCATGAGGCTTGGTCAGATCTAGAGCTAGCGCCTCAGTCTGTAAACGAGCCGCCCTCCTCCCGTTCCAGCGCTGCACACTTCCAGGAAGGAGCCACGCAAGCAAGAGCCCCGAGTTGCCCCCGATCCGTGACACTGTCGCAAGTTCGTCCCTGGTTTGGTACGGCGCCATGCGAGAGCCACATGTCGCAACCGAGCCGCTCTTCATTGTATTAGATGCTTGAAGCATGCGAGGCGAAGGCGCGCGGCGCTCAGGCGGGAGCCACATCTTGTAACAGCTCGTCCTCCACCCGAGTACTTGTCGGGAATATCAAGCTTCAGAGTCTCAAGCGAAACGCCCAGGCCGCCCTACCAGTATGCTCGGCGGTGCAATGAGGAGCAGCTCTTCTACACGTAGTGGCAATGGGGCGAGGGTTGAGGAGAACCAGGAGGGCCGAACTCGGGGTGGACAAATAGGGGATGAAGACCGACAGCAGACCCTGCGAACGTTGCAGAGGAATGCCTGCGGACGTCGCCCGTTTGCGATACGATGCGCCTGCCCAAGAACAGTGGTCACTCCCGATTTGAAGGCGTATGCTGTTGGGCTTCGTGCCACCTGCGCTGTCCCCATTTCAGGCGTACAATGTAAACCATTCAGGACTACGGGGGCGTGTGCCCGCGTCTGTGAGCAAGTCTGCTCGCACCAGTCGCGCGTGCACTCACGGTTGTAGCCATCTCTGGATTCATTGTGGTTCCCTCTCCCCTCCCTGTCTTTGTTCCTCCTTTCCCCCTTCTTTCCCCATCCGCCATTCTGCTTCATTATACGTATTAATATTAATCATGCTCCTCCTCGTCCGACTGTTCCTTCTGAGGTCGTGGCTGCGCAGAAGAGCAGTCGCGCCCCAGTGGGCTCGTAAAGGTAAGGGGATCATCCTCAAGCTCTCATCGCCCTCTGCTTTAGAACCTCCAGGGCGTCCCCTAAGCTGGGCATCCAGCAAAAAGAAGCATCTACCAGTGCGTTCGCGTTACTGACGGAGTTCATACTGATCGAGGCGAAGAAGCCGTATTCCATTCATCGAGTGTGAACTTCGCTTTTGACTCTATCGGCGACGAGGATACATATTTGCTTCGGGATGGGACTGCTGGATGTTGGCGGTTGACCGCTCTCAATGGGGCCGCCATTCGTGTTGGGCGCGACGTGCACACAGCCGTGTGCCGCGATTCGTGCTGGGCGCGGTTCGTGCTGCCGCGATTCGTGCGAGACCGCTCTAATGGGGGGATCGTGGTGCCGCGATTCGTGCTGGGCGCGACATGCACACAGAGCTGTGAGCGAGTGCCTCCTTCGTGCTGGGACGCAGTGGAGCCATCACAGTCGGGAACTCTGGCCCCGCGTGTCGCGCCATTGGTTCTGGCCTACCACGCTTTGGCGCGACACGCTGACCATTTGATGAGGAGGAGGAGGAGGAGGCTTCTCGGCCCGCGAAGCGGAGCAACACGCCTTCCGCTCGCAGGGCACAGCGTGTCGCCAGAGCCGCCGCCGCGACACGCTAAGCAAAAACTCCCGACCGCATGTTGCTGTTTCTCATGACCCCACTTGCTCGGCAGCATGGGCGCTTGGTATATCCTCTGATTTCCCCCTGTAGCCTCGACTAGCGTCGATTAGCGTCTCTGGGTCGACGAGACAGCGCCCATTTAGCGTCGGCTCGCATCGATTCGCGTCGATTTGGCGTCGACGGGCGTCGATTTAGCACCGATCAGCGTCGATTCGCAAGAGCCGACAAGATAGTATGGGAGGCTGCCGTGAGCTGCCACCGAAGACTTGGTCCCGCTACCAGCGGGCGGCGGGGCATGCGGGGTGGTCGTGTCGTGGTGCCGTCCGGTGTCGCGGCGTCGTGCGGACGGCCGGCGGGAGGGCGGGGCGCGTGCGGTGTCATGGCGGTCGCAGGGTGGCGTCGTGCTGTGTCGTGGCGTCGCGTCTGCGGTCGAGTGGAAACCCATGCTAAGAAGAACGCCCTGCTTGCCTCCGGGGTGCCCTGGGTTTCTTGGGTGTCGATGCTTCTGCTATGGAGAGCGTGACGTTCCCACACCAGAAATCAATGGACGCCCTGGAGTCTCAGGGTTGGGTTTCTGGTGGGAGGTTTCTTGTGGTCGAGCTCCTACTGTAGGAGGGCGTGGTGCCGTGGCGTCGCGCCGGAGGCGAAGCAGAAGCTGAAGCTGAAGTTGTAGTTGAGTGTAGGGGCGAAGCAGAAGCCGAAGCTGGGGTAAGCAACGCACGATCGGAAGAAGCCGAAAGCAACGCAGCATCGAATGTAAAAGCGTCCGCCAAAGTTGCGGTGGACAAGAAGTAAGGCAAAGGCGCACGCCGAGCGCAAAGCGAATGCTGGAGCCCAATGTTACACCTCGGCACATGCCAGCGCCAAGCCTAAATGTAATGTCAGCCAGCGTGGACCCCAAACAGTATGTTTCTAGCAATATGTGTGGTGCAATCCGCGTGGTGCAATCTATTTGGTGCAACTCGCCCTGCCGAACTTGGAGGTGTCAGCCCCACTGTTCGCGCAGTCATCCCACCCACCCGCTCGCAACTTGGCTTGCAAAACCCATGCGGCGGCAATTCCCATGACTGCTTGGTGCTGCGGCCGCTCTAGCGCGCACAGGCACGCGCGCAGATCGGCCAGCTAGTTTGGCGCGACCGACGCGGCCGCGGTGGCGCTGACCGCTGGGCACTTCCCAGCGCGTCTTGCAGGTTGCGCTGACGAGCGTGCACTACAGTGCGAGTCGGTGGCTCGGGCGGGCGCGGTATCATTGTGACGTCGACAACGGCAGACAAGATGATGGTACTGACGATGTTGGTGGCGACGATGACGATGACGACGGCAATGCTAATGATGGTGCCGATGCTGATCGCGCCGAAAATTATGATGGTGCCCACGTGTCGGTGATGAAAGTTTTGGTAGAATTTCGACATGCGCGCGCGGCCGACCTGCGCGAGTGGCCCTCATGGTTTTATTTGACAGGAATCGCGCCCTCGCGCATGCGCGAAAAGGCGTTCGAATGATGTCGGCACGCGCGCCCGAAGCATAATTCTGGTCGCATGTGATGAACATGTTGCTTAGAGTCGCAAGAGCGCACGCATATTGTTCAATCCATGTTTCAACACCACGTGGTTTGTTAAATATGTTAGGAACGTTTTTTGGCATCCCTTCGAAAACTCATGTGTTTGGGCGGATTTCGGCATGCGCGCGACGACGCGCGCGCATACAATCCGTTACACATTTTACGACATTATTTCTTGACATTTGATGATTCTTGATGCATGAATGAGCGCGCGTCTTTTTTTGCTGGGGATGTTGGGGGGTGTCGAACTTGGCTTGGCTGGGGTGGTGCGATTTCATAGATATAGAGATCGATGGGGCAGAGTCGTATGTAACATGCACATCCCCAAGGGTGGCCGATAATCACGTTTTCGGCGGGGTGGCGGTTCCTACAGCATTTTCAATAAATAGATTCTACGCTATGCCATCTACGCGGTGCAATTCACTTGTGGAACTCGCAGTTGGCTGCTCGCGAAATCATCCCACCCACCCACCCAAGAGCGGCGGCGATTGCCATGAGTGTTTGGTGTTGCCTGGTACATTTCTGCGGCCGCGCCAGCCCGCGCATGCACTTGCGCGCAGCAGCCAGCGTGTTTGGCGCGACCGACGCGGCCGCGGTGGCGGTGACCGCTGGGCACACCCCAGTGGGCACTTCAGTGCGAGTCGGCGACTTGGGCGGGCGCGGTTTGATGACAGCGTCGAAAACGGTAGACATGATGATGATAGTAGCGATGCCGGTGGCGGTGTTGACAGCGACGATGGCACGGCCAATGACGGCGCCGATGCTGATCACGCCGACGGCGATGACGGCGTCCTCGCGTTGGTGATGATGAAAGTTTTGCAAGGAGTTCGACATGTGCGTGCGGCCGACGCGCGACAGTGGCCCGGGCCCGCATGGTCTTATTTGACACGGATCGTGCCCCCGCAGCACGCGCGCAAGAGCGCTCGAATGATTCCAGCATGCGGCGCGAGAGGCCCGTTTGGCAGAATTCCATGAACGTACAGAAAAATTGTTTTGTCAAGGATTCGCCAGAACGCGGGAACAGTTGTTTGGTTGAGATCTGTTGCTTCGAAACAATATGTTTGTAATATGGTTTCCGGACACTCAGTTTTCCAATCCCTACGACATGTCAGGTTTCTGAAGGATTTCGGCATGCGCGCGCGACGACGCGCTCGTGTGCACTTCGTCCCGTTTTTGCAAAGGGCCCTTGCGACAGCACGCGCGGAAGGGCGTTCGAAACATTTCGACATGCGCGCGCGACGCCCGTTTTGCACATTTGGGAGAAATTGTTCTGCATGTATGTGTATATATAGGTGTATCTATACATAAATGTATAACAATGGTGTTCAACCTGCGGTTTTCGTAAGAATTCGCAAGGGCGCGCATGTACGTTTTGTTGGAATCCGTGTTGCGAATCCATGTGTTTCGAGATGTTGTTTGGGCAGGCGATTTATGAATTGTTTACGAAACTTGTTTGGTGTTTGAAGACCCACCTCCACCTGCCGACCTCCAGCGCCCACTATCTCAGCATTCCGACCTCCAGCTTTTAGCATGCGACTCTCCGTTTCCACCTCCACTTATCGATTTCCATCGCCCACTATCTCAGCATTCCGACCTCAATCTTTTAGCATCCGAATTTCCATTTCCAGCTCCACTTACCGACCTCCAGAGCCCACCAGCTCATCACTCCGACGCTGACCTCTAGCATCCACCTCTCCACTTCCAGCTCCACCTATCGACCTCCAGCGTCTACCAGCTCAGCACTCCGACTTCCAATCTCCAGCATCCGACTCCCCGTTTCCACCGCCACTTACCGACCTCCAGCCTCCTTTAACTCAGCATTCCGACCTACAGCCTTTAACATCCGACTCTCCACATCCAGCTCCACCTATCGACCTCCAGAGCCCACCAGCTCAGCAGTACGACCCCCAACCTCTAGCATCCACCTCTCCACTTCCAGCTCCACTTATCGACCTCCAGCGTCCATCAGCGCAGCATTCCGACTTCCAATCTTCAGCATCCGACTCTACATTCCCACATCCGCCTACCGACCTCCAGCGTCCATCAGCTCAGCATTCCGTCCGCCGGCTTTCAGCATCCCACTCTCCATTTCCATCTCCACCTACCGACCTCCAGCGCCCTTTATCTCAGCATTCTGACCTACAGCCTTTAACATCCGACTCTCCACATCCAGCTTCACCGATCGACCTCCAGCGCCCATTATCGCAGGATTCCGACCTCAAGCTTTTAACATCTGTCTCTCCACATCCAGCTCCACCTATCGACCTCCAGAGCCCACCAGCTCAGCATTCCGACGCTAGCCTCCAGCGTCCACCTCTCCACTTCCAGCTCCACCGATCGACTCAGCACCAACTCCGACGCTAGCCTCCGCATCCAGCGTCCACCTCTCCACTTCCAGCTCCACCTATCGACCTCCAGCGTCCACCAACTCAGCACTCCGACTTCCAATCTCCAGCATCCGACTCTACGCCTCCGCATCCACCTACTGACTTCCAGCGTCCATCAGCTCAGCAGTACGACCCCCAACCTCTAGCGTACACCTCTCCACTTCCAGCTCCACCTATCGACCTCCACAGCCCACCAGCTCAGCAATCCGACGCTAGCCTCTAGCGTCCACCTCTCCACTTCCAGCTCCACCTATCGACCTCCAGCGTCCACCAACTCAGCACTCCGACTTCCAATCTCCAGCATCCGACTCTACGCCTCCGCATCCACCTACTGACTTCCAGCGTCCATCAGCTCAGCAGTACGACCCCCAACCTCTAGCGTACACCTCTCCACTTCCAGCTCCACCTATCGACCTCCAACGTTCACCAGCTCAGCACTCCGACCACCAACCTCGCGCATCTGACTTTCCACTCCCAGCTCCACTTATCGACCTCCAGCGTCCATCAACGCAACACTACGACCTCCATTCTCTAGCATCCAACTCTCCACTGCCAACTCTGTCTATCGACTTCGGCGTCCATCAATTCAGAATGTTAACCTCCAACCTCCAGCATCCGACTCTCGACTTCCACCTCCACCAATCAACCACCAACCTCCACCAGCACAACATTCAGACCTCCAACCTCTCACATTCGACTTCCCACTTCCACCACCAATCGACCTCTAGCTGACCTCTTGGGTGTGTCACAGAGCGCGTATGGGCCTTCGATTGCACGTGGTGATATGTTTCTTGAGTGGCACCTGAAGGATGTGACACAGAGTTCATGAGAACACCAGTGCTCCCACACCCATGTGCAGTGGATTGGAGGCCCGAGGAGTTCAACTCGAACGTGTTTTGCTATGAGTTCGAGATCATAGGAAGGACGATGACACCCACGGGTTGCTCCGACAGTCTCACACCACAAAAACTACGATTTCAACGAGACGACGTGGCTACATCATGAGAAAACGGATGAGTGGGGACTGTCGGGAAATCAGCTCCTGAAGTACGCATTGTCCTGAGTAGACCCCCGACGCGCGCAGCTTCTCATGCGAGGCCATGGCCTCACCCGCCTCGCCCTTCAGGGGCCCGGGCGCATGCCCGCACAGGCGATCCGTCCGTTGAAGGATTTCGGCATGCGCGCGCGACGACGCGCGCGTGTGCACTTCGTCACATTTTTCGCAAAAAGGTTTGTTGGAATTCTATGATGTGTGGTAAAACTGGATGCGCGCACGTAGTTTTTTACAGAGGATGGGGGGTCGATGCCAGTTTAGTTTGTTGGATCTTACGAGTTCATCTTTAGAATGAACAGTGGGGCAGAATCTTATGTAAAGTGCAATACGACAGGGGGGCCGTTGACCCGGGGGGGGAGGATATCCCATTTTTTTGTGAAAAAGAAAGAAAATCAATGGGCGGCGACGAAACGACGACGGAGCGGCGACGGCGACCAAGGAACCGCCAGACTGGCGGCCAGGCCCAGACGACAAGCGGCGATGAGGCGGCGACGGGGCAGCGACGGCGAGCACGAAGCCGCCAAACCAGCCCGCAGGTCCAGACGACGGGCGACGAGTCGGCGACGGGGCGGCGACGGCAAGCACGAAGCTGCCAGACTAGCCCGCATCCCCAGTTCCTCAGAAAAGAAGCAAGGATCCCTAGGTGCAAGCACCGTCTGGAGAAATCCGTTTGCCAGCGTGGACCCCAAACAGGAAGTCATTGCATTGCGAACGTTTAAGCTATGTGGCGCAAGTTATGTGGTACCAGCTGTGTGGTGCAATCTATATGGTGCAGGCTACTTGCTGCAAGCTGTGCGGCTCAAGCTATATGTTGTGCAAGCTATGTGGTGACAGCTGTATGGTGCGAGCTATGTGGTACGTGTGATGTGGTGCAAGCTATGCGGTGCAAGCTAAGTCGTGCAAACAATGCGGTGTAAGCTAGGCGGCCGCCCAGCGCACGAGGATCCTACGGGCGGCGGCGGGCGGGCACCCGGCGAAACCTCGGCACACCCACTCAGCGCATGAGGTGCCCACGGGCGGGCACCCGGCGAAACCTCGGCGGCACCCGCGCCCGTCCAGCGCCCGAGGCGCCCACGAGGCGCCCACGAGGCGCCCACGGGCGGGCACCCGGCGAAACCTCGGCGGCACCAACTCAGCGCACGGGGCTCCCACGAGGCGCCCACGTGCGGGCACCAGGCGAAACCTCGGCGCACCCACTCAGCGCACGGGGCACCCACGGGTGCCCACGGGCGGGCGCGCTGGGCGAACCCCCGCCACACCCCGCCAAATACTTGTAAGCTGAAGAGAGCTACCGTAGTGCGGACACTGTTGTGAGAAGAAGCTGAACGCCGATTCCCCAAAGTCTCATTTCTTCTCGAATCAATATATCTTGGCATGTGCTTCCAGGTTCCCGCTGGATATGTAACAGAGCGAGCTGCAAACGCGACTAATCGGAAGCCCAGAGAAATTGCAAAAGCGAAAGCAAGCGCGATTGCAACAAGTAAGCACAACGAACAGAATTTATGGTTCTTCGTTAGAACTGAAGCTAGGGCGACATCTACAGAGACAGAGAGAGAGAGAGAGCGTGCGACGGACAAAGTGGCATGACAGCGAGTGAGAATGCGCACGCCCCATCGAAAGCCGGAGTCCAAGACACTCTGACCCAGCCGACATCCAAAGCGAAATCGCAAACCCAAAGCGAAGCCCAACGCAGCCGCGGCAGCGAGGGCCAACTCTGAAGCAAACCATGAAGCTCGAGTCAAATCTGAACCAGAGTATATACAACGCTGCTCATGGAATGACAGCGAGAACGAATACCCCGAAAAAGTCCCGTACTTGCACTTGCGCTTGCGCGTGGTCCATTTTAGGCATTTGCTGAATCTAACAATATCGCCAATGATGAAGCTAATATGAATACAAAGGCGAGTGCCAAAGCCACAGCTAAAGTCCACTGAAGTGCCAGATTCGAGTTTTACACTTGTTGGGTCGACAACTAAGTTCGAAGCAACTTACAAACCGCGTGGATGGTGTTTGATATTGCCCCAATCCCCCAACTCGTCATCAGCTCTAGTCGATGTTGGATGCTTTCTGAGTCATGCATGATCGCATTATGTTGACTGTGGTGCGCCCAGCAAGATACGAGCAACTGGTTGCCATTGCAGCATAAAAAAAGACGAACGTATGACGGCCCTGAGGACGATCCGAGTCAAGGCCAGTGGGCTATTTTCAGCAACTCCATGCGGCTTGCCGCTCCCTCAGAAGACCATGTGCTGCAAGCCAGGTGATCCTTGCTGCTATCGTGAGTTAAGGTCAGGTGGTTACGAATAGTCGGCCGTTGCCCCAGCATCGTTTGAACTATGTGCATGCTCGTTATCTTACATTGGCCGCCACACTCAGTCATAGCTTCCGACTTTGTATGCCCCTCGTTTAACAGCAGATTGTCCTTCTGAACCTGGCCGCCTCGATGGTGTCTTAAAGAGTGCGCATAGTGGAGCCGATCGTCCTCGCGATGCGGCTGTGCGTCGCACGCGACATCGGGTCACATTGGCGGGCAAGTCCGTATATCCCAAATCTCTGGGCCGCTTATTTGTGTCAGAAATTATTCGTTGTTGTTTTCTGACCGCCGCACTGTTCTGACTCCTAGCAGCTTCAAGCAACCATTCGTCAGTTACGTACAATGCAAGAGTGTCCAGAGGAGGTCGCCGATGGGCGGAAGGCTGAAATCGTATCCGGCTGCGCAGCACCTAGAACTTGAGCGTTCTGATCAAGTCATCTTGCAGCAATTGCCAAGCATAGTCGTTGGTCAAACGTCAGACGTTCAATTTCGCAGTGCGGAGCGCCATGTGAGTGCACACGGGGGACTCGTATTGATCGTGTGAGTCATCACTGGCGCGTCCATATGATAGCCTTGCAAGGTACCATCGATGTCCAATCACCCGCTTCGGGGACCGATCTAGCACGCGTTTAGGCCAAATGTTGGAATGCAGCGAAAGCCCTCAAGATCGACATGCAAGCACTGGTCCTTCCTATTCCTGGTTTCCCCCTGTCCCTCGTCACTCCTGGACCCAACGCGGACAGTCGTCGAAAACAGGCAGGCGCGTGCATGTGTTTGTGCAGTTCGGTCCAGCTACGGGAAGCGTTGCTCCGCGGGTGGAGAGGAACAAGGGGGACGGCGACAAGGGAGGAGGAGGGGGAGGAGGAGGAAGAGGAGGAAGAGGGAGGAGGAGGGAGGAGGAGGAGGAAGTACGAGGGAGGAGGAGGAGGAGGAGGAGGAGGAGGAGGAGGAGGAGGAGGAGGAGGAGGAGGAGGAGGAGGAGGAGGGACGAGGGATGGGGGTCTGGATGAATTGCGAGGTTTCAGTGGATCGAGGCCTAGGGCGAAAGGGCGGGCACACCAGTCATCCTTCAGAAGTTGACAAGGTCAGGGCCTGGCTTCTCACATGTGAGAAGCCAGGCCGGGACACATATTTATACGCATACGTATACAATCGCGAACCCCACACAACCACACATCTACTTCACAAAAACATTGCCCCATGTTGCCGCCGCGCTAACCGCCGAAAGCGCCCAAGGGGTCCTGGCTATCTCATCTCAGGTCAGATCTGTTGGAACCATCACAGGCAGTTTGCCCACCCCTCTGCTATATCGCTCTTGCACGAGGATTGGACAAAGGGCAATGCACCTACCATCAAATCACATTTGCCCCGCTTCGCGGCCAATCACACGGACGATTTGTTGTCCCAGGGCGCCTCACACTTGGCAGGTTTCAGGGTCGAATGGGCCGACATACTTTCGCGTTTCATGAGAGACTTTGAACAACATGTGTGCTTTCCGCAGGAAGTGGCAAGATGTGGAAGCCCACCTCGTATTGCGTGTTTTATGTATCACATAGGTTTGGCTTGACACTGTATTCAGTGTTGCAGGGGAAGTAGTAGGGACTACAGAGAGATTGCAGCGAGTTGTGACTGCTATCGTTGTGGCTCAAGATGGAAAAGCATCATTGCTTTCGGTCTTGCTGCCACTGTTGGTAGCGGAGCCTCGTTGTGAGGCTCCGGGTCGGCGGGGTGACCATGGAGCGCTGCTATGCGGCGTTGTGTCGCGACCTCGACAGCTCGGAGCGCTCGCGGAGTGAGCGGACGATCTACGGCAACGTCGGGCGAAGGCAAACCCGAGGATGATAGCAGCAAGGGCGATAGGAAGTCGGACCACGTCGAGGACATCTCAGCAGTCATGGCCCCGCCTTCCAACAAGGCAGCAGTCGCGGCAGCCCGTGACAGCAGCAGCATGACGCCTTCCCTTGTTACGGCAGAGCAGCTCGAGGGACTTCGAATGCTTCTAGACAGGATGGTCGCGGCGACCACGAGCGGGAGGGTGAAGGTCCCTCCCTCGTCATCGTCGCTGGCGGCCCCCATGGTATCTCCAGATCCTTGGGAAGAGACGCGCCCCGGGAAGCAACGCCATTTTGGCCAGAAGGGAGACGGGCCTGAGCAGATGTGGCGGACGAGCAACTGGAGGGAATGGTGGTCCACGGGGTAGCAGGCCGAGGACGGCAATTGGGACCCGTGGAAGCACAAGGTTGGCGACTGGAGCGCCGGAGGCTCGGGCCGTGGCGACTGCTCAGACCCGCCAGCCTGGCTGGGCTGGAGCCACTACCGTCAGTGGAAGCGAGCTGTCCGGCGTTGGGATCAGTGGAGAAGGGCTGAGAAGCTACTGAAGCAGTTCGACTGGACGACGCAGGCCAAGTTCGACGATGGTAGCGAGGCAGTCTTGTCCAGCAGAGGCCGGCTGGAGGCTATCCCAGCGCATGGACATGATGATCGGCGGGCGAGAAGGTGATGAAGTACGGAGACTCGGCCGGCGCGCGGTCTATGAGGCGGATCGAAGCACCAAGACTTTCATCCAGTTTCGTGTCTCGAATGGAGTCACAGATCTTAGAGGTGGAGGGCCACGACCTGTGGATGATCGACCGGTTCCAGGACCTCCTTTTTGAAGATGGAGCCGGACTCTCCACGCAGGGCTGCCAGAATTTCTGAATTGTCACCAAAGACAACCTCGACTTCGTGCAAGTCGCATGGGCACTGAAGCAGATGGACTCCACTGGCTCGGAGTGGCTGCTTCCAGATGCGCGATAGGGTGCCCACATGGCCTTGCCTGTCGGATCGGAGGGAAGGCCCGGAGCGGCCAACCTCGCCCAGCCGGCAGACGAGGCCGGAATATTAGTTGCCGGTCAGGACATCGACGACGATGATGGTGAGAGCTGGGCGAGGCTGACTTAAGGTAGGGGCGGCTCGAGGCATTCTTGGCGAGCAGAAAGATCCCCGAGAAGAGGTCACGGAAGGAAGATGCGGACCTCGAGCGTGCAGCCCGGAATGACCAGCAGTTCTTCGGCCCCAAGTGCAGGGGCCAAGAGTCGAGGTCGGGCCCCGGCTCCGACGAGGCAGCTTCTTGATGACGGCCGTCCCGACCATGGCCGTCGTCTTCCTCGGGATCGCACGCGGGATCGACGTCCTCCGCGAGACTGACCGCGACGACCCTTGGCGGATAAGCTGGCGAAGGTGACCAAGTGCAACTATTGTCAGAAGCAGGGTCACCGCGCCGAGAACTTGCTAGAATAAACAGAGGGACGGCGAATTGACCGGCGCGGTCGGCCAGCCAGACCAGGGCCACACGTTCGCAGGGCGCGCGGCGACCGAGCTGAAGATGGACGAGCTGACAAAGACACAGTCGGTGACCCAGGAGGTCAATGCGGCATTGCCGACGGCCAGCCCTGCCTTCGCCCTCGTGGATCCGAGGGCGGGTGGCGACCTGATCGGGCTGAAGGCGCTGAACCTCTCCGCGCCGATGCCGGCGCAGCAGGGCTTGACCTGCGCGGCGCTCACAGGTGTGCGACCTCGTCCTGCACGCGGAGTCGGGGGATGCACTCGTCCTGCTTCGACCATCTTGTTTCCCTTGAGACTGGGCGGCGGCTTTGGGGTCGCGGAAACGACGGTGCCGCGGGATAATGTTTCCCGCGTCCTGTCGGTCGGGCCGCTGGATTTCCTGAAGTGCGCGATCGACCTCCCCAGGGGTGCCATGTTCAGCGGCCTCCTCCCCATGGGCATTTTCCCGCGGCGGCCCCCGTCGGAGCGCAGGCTGGCCCGGGTGATCGGCCCCGCCAGCGGGGGGCCCCGCGCGCCAGCGTCGTCTATGCAGCGCTATCCCTTCCTGAAGGAGAGTTCGTTTCAGGCGAGCCCAGGCACTGTTCTCCAGATGGGCGAGAAGGAAGTTGTCCAGATTTTGTCGATGCATGTTCTTCTCCTCCTCCTCCTCCTCCTCCTCCTCCTCCTCCTCCTCCTCCTCCTCCTCCTCCTCCTCCTCCCCCCCCTCCTCTTCCTCCTCGCCCCCCCATGGCCTGCGGCGTCTGGCAGCCTGGGGCCCTCGGTTTCAACGAAGTTGCTGGAGCTGTTCTCTGGCTGATCTCGTTTCGAGCCCTCTGGGGGCCCCCTGCGTTAAGCTCGGGCCCACCTGCGCCAAGGACCGCCTCGGGAGATCCTCATGGGGCCCTGGCATTAGCGACGGCAAGTAGCTCAGCGTCCACGGAAGGGTCGGCGCTCTCTAAGGCCAAGTGGGTTGCTCGGCGGCTTAGCAAGCGGGGTCTCGGGGTGCTTCGGCAGCCCTGATCGATCTAATGATCGCGAAGCCAAGGCGAGCGTCACCCACGACGTCAGAAGGCTCAGGAGAAGAAGACAGGTCCCCGAATAACCCTAAGGGTCGGGAAGCTAGTCAGTCCAGGAACGACAGGGACCACGGGGCTCAGGAATGGGCTCGAGAGGCCCTTGAGGTCCCAGCTGCCAGTCGATCCAGAGTCGATGAGTCCCGGAACGGTTCCGTAGTCCGTCGGCAGGACTACGCAGTGGTCGGCAGCGCGTGCTTCTCCCATCTGCGGGTCTCTCCGCCGATGGGGATGTTTCTCGCGGCGTTGGTGATGGGCGCGCCGATGGCGCCAGCCACCATGGAGTCCGAGTGGGCGACCCTGACGGCGCTGAGGGTGGCCGAGGAGTAGCGCGGTCGCGGCGGGCCCCGCCGAGGCGGCTCGAAAGTCTCAGCGGATGCTAGGTGCGATTGGGGCCGACGGCATGCTGCCCCCGCAGGAGAGGATCTCGCTGCCCCGCGAGGCGTGGAACGGGGGGCTGGGGCGATGAGCCAGCGACGTTGAGTGCATGGCCGACCAGATCCAGCTCCTCTGGGGCGCGAGGGCGGCGACGGTGACCGCGCGCGCGAACGCGCATCAGAGCGCGCGGCTGGGCCCCGGTTACCTGCAGGACCACGTCCTCAGAGTGGGGCACCAGCGGCAGACGATCCGGATGATGCTAGGCCAGGGTGCCACGAGGCCTCAGACGGAGGGCCCTCGGCGCCGCCTTGCGGTGACCAGGGCCAGGTAGCAAGAAGCGCGGAGATGGCTTTCCCCGACCACTGCGTCCGGGAGCCCATGGAGTCCAAGGAGGAGGGCGAGCTGGAGGGTGGAGCCGACGCCTGAGGAGTCCCGACGCGCGCAGATGCAGGGACTTCTGCGGACTGTCGCTCGCGGCGCCGGTGTCGCAGGACGCCGGGCTGCCGAGCCGGGCGCCCCCTGTCCCCTGGACTCCGTTTCGGTGCTCGAGTCTTGGGCGATCCGCAATCGTTTCAACGATGATCACGAGACGCTCCTGTCTCGTAAGGCGAGGGCCCAGCTTTCCCAAGTTCTCGGAGATCCTCGCGCTGGATCGTGGGGCCCCGAGGGGCCCGTGCCCTGTCGGCACGGGGCTCGCGCGGCGGTCTCAGAGGTCTTCTCACCGGCGCAAGTGTCGGCGGCTGCTCGGGAGACGGGGCCCCCGACAGGAGAAACGGCGAGCTTCGATCTGGGCGAGGGCTGGGATTCCAGCGACCCCGAGGATGTCAGAGCGATGTTGGCGACCTTGGAGAGGGAGAGACCTCTGCCCGCGATGATGTCACCGGAGTACTACGTCAAACGGATCGACGAGCGGCGAGAGACGGCGAGGACCGGACTCAGAGATCTCGAGTTGCGCATGGAGGTTGCGCTGTATCAGGCGCTTCAGGGTCTTTTCTTCACGTTCGAGCATCCCCCGTCAGCCTCACCATGGAAGCCTGAGATGGTTAAGCTTGTCTCCCTTAGGCCAGGAGTCGAGCGCATTCGAGTGGACATGCGCGCGTTCGGTCTGCAGGTCTCCCCCGAGGGCCCCAATAAGAAACCGATTGGCATCCTGACCGACTTTCCCGAGCCAGCTAGGACGCTCGAGACCTAGGTGCGCCTGGGAGGGCACCGCCATGTGATCATGTAGAAAGGTCGCCCAGCTAAGGCTCCGGCGCGCGCCCGCTAGTTCGCCCAGAACATATTGCGGATGGCGGGCGAGGAGTGGGCGGGAGCTGGGACGTGCGTTTCTCCTCGGGGTCTGGACGTCGCCTTGGAGTTCTCGGGCCCGGGCGCTGCTTTCTCGGCGGAAGCGGAGGAGGGCGCGATGGCCGAGATAGAAGAAGAGCCTCCGAACGGAGGGGGCGAAGACTCGGGAGACGAGCCAGAGACAAGGCCTCCAGGTGCCCCGCGCAGCCTGGGGCCAGACCCCGAGCCTCTCGAGTCAGAGAAAAGGTTGCTTGACCGTTTGCACGTCCATATGGGTCACCCCGACACCCGCAAGTTTCATAGAGCGCTTCGAGCGGGGGGAGTGAAGGCCCACCTCCTTCGCTGGATCACGCACACGTATTCAAGTAGTGAATGCGACGAGCGCGCTCGACAAGATATGCGCCCGAAGATAGCCCTTCCCCGGACGTTCAGATCCCTGTGGATTTGTTTCGCATCCGATTTCGAACGGACGATGCGAGGTTTCAACCTGCGAGTAGTTGCGAAGGTGGAAGACCGGCGAGCGTCGACGGCGTGGAAGGCTTTCGTTCGTGCCTGGGTCCGACCTTTTGGATGCCCCCATCCGTCGATTTCGGACGGTGGGTCCGAGTTCGAGCCGAGGTTCGTTCGAGGAATGTCGCAGGTCAGCGCTAAGCATCACGCCGCCAGGGCGGACGCCCCTTGGGAGAACGTAATGTGTGAAAGACACAAGGGGTGGATTTAGGAACGCGTGCGGAGATCGATCTTGGCTCGGATTTGCCGCGAGGCGTGGAGGAGCTGGAAACGTTAGTGATCGAGCTCGTTGGGCACAACCGTTTCTGGCGTAGGGGGGGGCTCTCCCCGATGCAGCTGGTGTTTGGAGAACACCCCAGAGTTCCCCGCGAGCTGTCGAGCTGTCGAGCGACGACCACCTGGGGTTTCCTGGCTGGCAGGGCGTTTTTTGATCGCCCTCGGAGCAAGACCCCGCGGGGGCCGAGTTTGCCAGGGCCCGGGGGATTAGAGATCGGGCAGGGGAGCTTGCCTTGAAGGCGGCGGCTTGCGACCAGGCCCAGCGCGCAGGCAGAGCGAATATAGCCCCACTTCGCAGGTTTGTCCCGGGCCAGTAGGTTTTTGTGTGGCGACAGTTCTCCAGTTCTCCTGGCGCCAAGCTGGGGATTAGATGAGGAGCCTGGTGCGACCCGGGAGTGGTCGTGCTTCGCGAGCACGGAACCGCGCCGGTCGCGATCGCGAGGCGCGTCCGTCTGTGGAAGCATGCATCCGCCCAGGTGCGCCCCGACAGCCCGGGCGAGGAGCTCGGAATGCGTTTGACGGCGGGCCCTGAGTGGGCGGGGGTTGAGACGCCAGATCGGCGCCCAACGGGCGGCCGCGGTGGAAGCTCAGAGAGAAGGAGACCCGTTGGAAGACGCCTGGTACGAGCCCCTTCCCTCGGAGGCTCTGGGAGCCAATCCACTTCTGGTTCCCGGACCGGGAGAGGCCCAGCGAGGCCCAGAAGAGGTTGATGATGATCGAGCGGTCCCCACCACGATCCAGAGAGCTCCGAGTCCTGGATTTACCCGGCTGCCTTCGATTGCCGAGAATCAGGAGACTCCACACCTTCCGAGCGGCGACCAGTCGGACCTGGCCCCCGCGCCCTTGGAAGTAGGGGCGCCAGCTAGCGACTTGAGTCTGGGGGGCCCCTCTCCCTCTCTTCTCCCCCCCTTTGTTCCTGCCCCCCTTCCTCCTCTCGAGGCCCCTCCCGATCGAGTCGGATTTCGAGGTCTGAGGCAGCCCGCGTGCCGTTGTCTATTCAGAGGGTCAGAGCAGGTCTGGATCCCGCCACGGGAGCGCAGGTGAGATGGCGAGGCAGAGCCCGAGAGGCCCCGGGTGGAAGAGACCGTGGACCCCCCCGCAGGCCTCGATCTGCCTCACCCCAAACTCTCTCTTCTCCCCTCCTCTTCCCCCAGTGCTCATGGAGGGCCCCAGGATGCCATCGAGCGGGGTGGTGCAGTTCCCGCGGAGGTCTCAGGGGCGGCTGGCCGCGCGCTGCGACGCGTGGCGGAGATAGAGCAGCGCCAAGGGCCGGCACGGGCCTCCATTGCTCAGGTCCGGTCGACACCCTACTCTGGGGAACGCGGAGGAGAGGAGCGAGGAGCAGTCAACGAGGGCTCTGGCGACGTGGCCGACTTCTGGGTGAGGGCCGGTTTTCGTGGAGGGGTCTGTGCTTTCAGGAGTCCGATGGACGGTTCAGGTGGGCCGTCGGGAGCTCGCCCCGCCTCCCCGTCTACTGGGCGTTTCGCCGCGGGCCGAAGCTCGGAGGTGACTACGGGGCGCCTCTCTCTTGAGGAACGCGCCAAGTTCGGCGCGTCAGACTTGGAGGAATGAGAGTCGATCCTAAGATCCGGAGCGGTGAGAATCGTTCCCCAGAGGGAGTCGGAAGCCGCGCGGAGGGTTGCGCCCGAGAGGACCATCGCCTCTCGGATGGTGCGCCGGTGGATGCCAGCGGAAGGCGCCTTCGCGACCCCTGCGGCTAAGTCTCGGCGGCGCGTGCGCGGGCATCAGGGCCCAGACACTGGGGCTCTAGACGTCTACTCTCCAACTCCTCAGACCAGCTCGATCATGATGTTCCTTCTGCTGATCATGAACCAAATTTCGCCTATGAAGGTGGAGTCCGGACAACTGGCCAACGAGAACAACCCATTGTCCAGGGGGGAGTTTAAGGCCATGCGATCCTTGACCTATACGTTGAACTGGGCGGGTCGCAAGCGTCGCCCCGAGGCCTCGGGGGCGGCGAGTATTTTGGCGCCCAGGTTAGTGAGCCCCACCATGTAGGACGCGATGCGCGCCAGCAAGTTAGCAAGGCATCTCCGGGCGACGGCGTCTCGGGGCATCGCGGTCCGGCCCCTCGGTCCCAACAACATGGTTTTCGCAACCTATTCCGACGACGGGGGGGCCGGGGCAAATACTAGGATGGACGATGCCAACGGGCTGCCTGAGGATCCGACACAGGGCGCCTGGATGATCTTCGCCGCCGATTCGAATCTGTCTCGAAATATATCCGTCCGAGTGTCCATTCTCGGCTGGAGGAGCTGCAAGTTGAGAAGACAGGTTGCGTCTACTCTAGCGGGAGAAACTTTCTCTCGCAGCCGCTATTGCAGAAGTCGAGTACGCACAGGTCCTGCATCGTGATACATTATTCCACGATGTGGATGTTCCCGACTGCGTGAGGGCCCCGGGACCTTTTACCACGGCGCTGCGTTCTCAGTGTGAGCTGTGGAACTGGCGAGGGACCCAAATGCACGCTATGGGCGCCAAGTCCGTCTACGAGACCATGATGAAGGAGGGAAGCGCGTCGTCCAAGGACAGCCGCACGGTTCTGGAGTAGGCGATTAACTCGGAGAGTATGGCCAACGCGATGAGCATGATCCGTCTTGGGTTCTTTATTCCAAGATGTTGGTGGATTCGTTGACCAAGCACGACATAGGGAAGACTAGCGCTGCTTTTTCTCAGGTCATGGCCCAGGCCAGAATCGTGCTCGTGGATGCACCGAGGGAGCTGGAAGCCAGGCGAAACATCCCGGCGCGCAAGGACCGATCGCGTGCTGCCTCCGAGAGAACGCTGGAGTCCGAGAGCGGGTCATCGAGGATTTCCTCGACTCAAGAGCTCAGTCCAGTGCAAGTGCTATGCCTTGGTCTCTTTCTTTGTCTCTTCTCTCTCCCTCTCTCTCTCCCTCTCTCTCTCTCTCTCTCTCTCCCTCTCTGCAAGATGGTCGTGTCTGACCAGCGTTATTTTGTTGTTTCCTCTTCGCGCTTTGGAATGCCAAACGTATGAAAACTTTTGACGAGTGGAAACCCAACTCGTATTGTGTGGTTTAGGTGTGCCACATCGGTTTGGCTTGACACTGCTGTCAGCGTTGCCGGGGAAGTAGTATGTACTACAAAGAGATTCCAGAGAGTTGTGCCTGCAATCGCTGTGGTTCAAGATGGAAAAGCCTCATTGCTACGGGTATCGCTGCCAGAAAGAGTCACTCAACACAGTTTGGCATAATGCTGCGAGCTAAGAGTACTATGTCGTGTCCATGCTGACTCCAGCTCTGGGTATGTACAAGATGGCATTCCGCAGGAACTCGCATCATATTCTCTTGGGGCAATAAAATCATATCCGGCGAGTTCGATGTGTCGAAATTGTTTCGGCCGCAGCTTAGTGTCTATGAGATTATCATCGTGCTTGGATGCTTCCCTTTTGGTGCCTTCGCTATGACACCATGCCGCGCACGTGAAATATTTGAGCCCATGCCCTGCAAGTGCTTCCATAATTCGTTTATGGTGGCCGCCAGCTTGAATGTTTGTAGCACCTGGTTGCCCAGCGTACTGGGCGCACCAGAAGTGAAGGAAGAGCGCGCGGAGAGAGAAAGGGAGAGAGAAGGAGAAGGAGGAGGAAACGGAGGTGGATGATAAGGATTTCTCAGTTATTTTTGCTAGCATGTCCGCGGCCTATACTATTGAGGCCAAGCTCAACCTCATGGAGTCCACGATTCTGGATGACGCCTACGTGATCCTCGGCGCACAGTGCGCCGTTTTTCAGGCGCCAGTTTTTCCCAGGGCACTCCGCGCATGCGTCTTGGCAGGCGCGTGCGCAGGATGAGGAAGAGGAGGAGTACCACCGCAAGACCAGCATTAGTCGACTATGTTGCAATATTATTATCCTGCTGCCTCCCCCCCCTGACTCCGGACCAGCCGTGTTTGGGCGGTTCCGAAAGCAGCGCGGAAATTCCCACCCTACCTCTCAAGCTCCTTTGATGTCGATTTCCGCCCCACTTTGCCGTCGCTGTTCCCGCCATGCCATGTCGGAAATATCGGCCACATTTTTCTGAGTAGGAAATCGCATCGTTTGGGGTGCCTTCCCGACACAATGTTATCAAAGACGCCTACGGCGAATCACCGCCGCCCCCTTGCCTTTTGGGGAAGCGCCTATGTGGCCGAGAGTTGGGTTAGAGCTTGGCCAAGCTGTCGGACCATGAGTTCCCCGAGTCGGTTTGGAAAGCTTTCGGGGAACACGTGGGGCCAAGTTTGGGTCAGATCTTGGCCAAGTTGTTGGACCATGTATTCCACCAGTCGTTGTGGAAACGCTTCGGGGTAAATTTTGGGGAGGAAGAGGCAAAAGGAGAAGAGGGGAGAAAATTGAGAGTGAGGGAGAGGAGGAGAAGGAGGAGGAAGACATAAGGGACCTCTCGAGAAGCTCTGGAGCACTCTTGGGGCCTCCTGGGTGCTTCTTAGGTGCCACTTGGAGGTCTCTTGGAGACCTCCTTGGGCCTCTTGCGGGCGGCCGTTGTGCAATTGTCCTTCGTCTTGGGCGCTCCTGACTCGTCTGACGCCGTCGGAAGCCGTCTTGGGGGCCTCCCTAGGCCGACGTGGGGCCTTCTTAGCGCGCTTCAGGGCCGTCTTGGAGGTCATCTTGAGCGCCTTGGAGGTCTCCTGGGCCATTTTTGGGCCCTCTTGGGCCGAATTGGGGACCTCTTCGGCCGTCAGGGAGCCATCTTGGAGGCCTCTTATACGCTCTTTGGGACATCTTGGGAGCCTCTTGGGCTGTCTTGGGCCGTCGGAAAGCCGAAAATGAGCAAACGCCAGAATCCTTCAAAAACCAATTGAAAATCAACGATTTGTACCTATTCGGGCCTTCCTGGAGGTCCCTCTTGGAGGTCTCTTCGGCCGTCTTGGGGGCCTCTTGGGCTGTATTGGGCCATCTTGAGGCCATCTTTGGCCATCTTGGGGGCATCTTGGGCCGTCTTGGAAACATCTTGGGGCCATCTTGGGCTCTCTTGGGGCCATCTTCTCCGTCTTGGGCGAACTTGGAAGCCATCTTGGGTCATCTTGCCCGTCTTGGAGGCGGCGTGACGCGCCGAAGCCCCAGGGGGAGTCCTTTTGGAAAAAGAACCAAACCCAAAACCGAAAGGGTTCAGCACGCCGGGCACCCCTGTGATGAATCAGCAGGGGGCGGCGGATCCAGCTGCCTGCGGCAGGTCCCGCCACCGTGCCAGCCCAGCATTTTGGGTGGCGACTGATCGATGGGGCAAGGAGGCCAGTACATGTGACATTCATTTCGAGAATCCAGGCTTGAAGAGCCGTGATGAGGATTGTGAGGATGATGAAGGTGATGGCGATGATGATGTTGTTGATGATGGTGGTGGTGGTGGTTGTGATGATGACGATGATGGTGGTGATGATAATGCTGATGATATTGGTGCTGCTGCTGATGTTTATGACGATGATGCTGATGCTGATGCTGATACTGATGATGATGCTGATAGTGATGATGAAGAACATGAAGATGATCATGTTGATGATGATGATGATGATGATGATGATGATGATGATGATGATGATGATGATGATGATGATGATGGTGATGATGGTCTTTTCTTTTAAAGTTGAATGCCTTTCGAGGGGGAGGGAGAGGCCGACTGCTTGCATATCCTAGCCTTCGGCTCTCGAGCTCAGTGCCGCGGCGGGCCGCGGTGCATGGCTTCGCTGGGCCTCCCGGAGGGCTTGCTGAAGGTCCTGGACCGTTTGGGCGTGCCGGCTCTGCAGGCCTGGGTCGCTCGCTGTCCCGCGATCGAGGTCCCGCCCTGCCCCGCGTGCCCGGCCTGCCCGCCGTGTCCTGGGGCCACCGTGGGCGCGACCTCGGGCGCGGTGACCCTCGCCTGCCTGGCCGCGGGCGTGGCTGGCGCCTCCTTCGGCGCCTTGGGCGCGATCGCGGTGCTGCGGCTGTGGGGCCCGCTCCGCTTCACAACTGAAGCGCGGGGCGCGGCCACGCTGGCTTCGAGCGGGCCTCCTCCGCGCGTGGCGCTGGCGGCGACTGGCGATGGCGGAGGCCTGGGCGTGGGTGCTGTACGACGTGGCCGGCGCGCCGCTCTTCCACCAGAGGAAGGTTGTGGGTCAATTGGCGCTCGCGGATGATGTGGTTATCGTGACCCCTGACGACATGGTCTACGCGCAACGCTCGCTGGCGGCAGGGGCCGACATAGCAGCGGTGCGCTTCGCTTCAGCTCGGTGGCCGCCCCCGCCTGGGATCGCGCCCGACGCCACCTACAGGTTCGGCCGCGCCCCGTCGGCGGCCCGCGAGGCAGCCTGGCTGGCGGCGGCGACGGCCGAGGCCGACGTGGAGTTCGCCCGCCGCCCCCCTGGAGTGCCCCCCCCGCTTGTCGGCGCGTTCATCCCCATGAGTGGCGGGCTGCTGCCTGAAGGGGGCCCCCCTGCTGCTGTTGGTGGGGCGTTGGTGGGAACCGCAGCGGGCCCGGGCGGGGGTGCTTCAGCGCTGGCCGCCGCGGGACTTCCGCCGGTGGCTGTGGGCGCTGCCGGGCCGACGCCGCCCGCCGCGCTGCCGCCTGGCCCGGGCCCGCTGGTCGCCCCGGCCGCGGGGGCTCCCATCGCAGCAGGAGGCCCGCCCGCCATCGGTGCGCCGCCTGGGCCGGGCTGGAAGGACGACGGCGGTCCCCCGCTCGGGGCCAACGGAGAGGCGCCAGCGGGCTGGGGCTGGGGGTTCGCCGAGGACATGGACTCCTTCCCCTTCGGAGCGCTAGTGCAGGTTGGGCCGATCTCGGGCATCGCGTTGTCGTCGCGGGCTGGCAGACGTGGGATCATCGCGCTCGGCGTTGGGGTGTCGGCCATTGCTTTCATTTCGGAGGACTGGAGGCGGGCTGACTTGACCGCGAAGTGGCGAGGGTCCGATCCGCGGACGTCGGCGCGCCTCGCGGGCAGCAGCGGACCTCGCAGCTGGCTCATGGTGACCGAAACGTCGATGGAGTTGGCCGACCCCCAGTTCGTGTTGCAGCCGCGTTCGGCCGCCCGGTGCGCGGCGTGGCTGCTCCGCGAGGGCGGGCTGAACCAGCGTCGCCAGAATTGGAAGGCACGCAAACGGCTCAGCACCTCGGACTACAGAGTCGTCGAGCACCACGCCCTGAGCACAGCGCTGGAGGATCTCGCGACGATCGACGAGGTCAATGCGTCGAACCTCGTCGGGACGGAGCGCCTGCTCAGAAAGATGCAGCTCATCGAACACTTCTGGGAGGAGAAGCAGAGGGGGCAGGACGTGACCCAGTAGGAGTTGCCCCAGAAGGAGATCAGCGCCTTCATGGGCGGCACGGGGGCCTCCAGCCGCCCAAACTGCACGGTCTGCCCCGCGCTCTCGGGCGTCGTGGGCAGGGAGCTCGCGCGCGTCAGCCAGCTCAAGAAGAACGCCCGCAAGTTGCGGGAAGCCGCTAAGGCCGCCCCCGGGGCCAAGGCCCGGGGGGCGAAGTCATGATGTCATCGCGCCTGGGGGGGCCTCCCGGCCCGGCCCCCCCCCCCCAGGCGCCGCGGCAATTCGGCCTTCTTCGGCGGTCGCCTGCGCCGCTGAGGGCGCGCGTGGCAGGTGCGGCGGCGTGGGCGCGGAGCGGCAGCGGGACCTCTTTCCGCTGCCCGCGCCTGCTGCTGCTGACCCCGGCGGGCTGACCGGTGACGGTTGTCCTCGCAGCATGCGGAGGCGGGCCCGCCATTCCGCGTCCGCGCCGTGGCTCGTCAGGCAGGCGGTCGAGTCGCTCAGCGGCCTCAGCGGCGCCAGGGGCGGCGGCGAGCCTGGGCGGCCGGCCGACGCGACGCTGGCGCAGCAGCGGTGCCTGTCTCGAATCGCGGAGTACGTCGCGCAGCTGGGCCCCCCGCCAGGCGACCTTCAGCCTTTGGCGGCCCTTCAGGAGCTCCAGGCTGCTCTGTCCTACGACGGCGCGCTGTCGACCAGGGCGGAGGCGATGGGCGTCTCTTGGCTCTCGCTGCCGCCTCCAGGCAATTGTCCCGCGGCGCTGGAGCGGCTTCTGGAGTCCGAGGTTTGTGATTCCGTTCATCGTGAAGTCTCGAGCAAGGTCTTGCCAAATACCGAAGTTTTGCAGCTGAAGCAGGATGCCGGCTTCAGGAATCCCTGGATCCGATTATTCGAGACCGACGTCGGCGCCCAGCTCTCGTGACTCGCCTACTCGGCGCAGGAGTGGTCGACCTTGTCAGTGACCCCAGCGAGGTGATGGACGAGGTCGGCCTTCTCAGCGCGCCCAAGAAGAGCGGGCGGCAGCGGCTCGTCGTCGACGCCCGGCCCGTCAACTTCTGGTTCGGCGCGCCCGCGGAAATTCACCTGGCCACGGTCGCGGCGCTGGTGGCGATCGAGCTGCCCGACGGCGCCAACCAATGGACGGCCTCGGCGGACATCGCGGACGCCTTCTACAACGTGGAGCTGTCGCTCGCTTGACTTGGCGCCCCCGCTGATAGACGCTTGGAGGCTGGGGCGTGGTGCCGTCCATGGGTAGCAGCAGTCTCGGCTGCTGTGGCCGCGCCTTGCGGTTCTGCCCATGGGATGGAGCCGCGCGCTGGCCGTCTGTCAGCGGGCGTTGGCGTCGGCGGCCGATCGGGCGGAGCTGGCGTCGGCGTCGAGGGTCGTGGGCCGCCAGAGCTGCCCGGGCGCGGCAGGGGGCGCGCATCTCGAGCGAGTTGACAACTTTGCCTCGCTCTCGCTGGATCGCGACACCACCGAGCGGATGAAGGGTGACACGGTCGCAGAGCTGCGCGAGAGCGGCCTCCCAGTCCACGAGGGGGAGAGCGCGGCGCCCCACGCGCAGCTGCTGGGCTGGGTCATTGATGGCGAGCGCGGGTCCGTCTCTCCGACGCCTCGGAGGGCGCGGCGTTTGATCTTCGCCGCGCGGGCGCTCTTGGCAATGCCGAAGGTCTCGGCCCAGCAGGTGAGGTAGGTGGTCGGTCGCTACACTTCCCTCTTTATGGTGGGGCGCCCGCTGCTGTCCGTCTTCTCCGCGGCGTACCGCTTCGTCGCCGAGGCCGGGGAGGCGCCGCGCCAACGGTGGCCTGGCGCGCGCCGCGAGCTGCCGTGGGCCACGGGCATCGCGCCGCTGGCCGCAGCGGACCTGCGCGCGGACTGGCTGGGCCGAGTCTCTCGCGCGGACGCCTCCGAGTGGGGCCGAGGAGTGCGGGGGCGTGACTTTGACAGATGTGCGGTTCAGAAGCTCGGGGGAGTTCATGGGCGCCGGCGCTTCCGAGACCCCAGCGCGAGAGCCCCCAGGGAAGAGGTCCTCGTGCCCTTGGAGCTTTACGAGAGCCTCATCGATGTCGAGCCGCTCCCGAAGTCCAACGTCCTCGCTAGCTCGTCGGCTTCTGCGGGGCCCGCCGACCTCGCGGGGCCCTCAGCGCAGCAGCGGCCCACAGGGTTCGAGCCGTTGGAGGTGGAGCATGTCTCGGGTGACAGGGTCGTCATCTCCAGTGGGGGCCCGGGCGCGGGAGGAGCTCGTCGCGGCGTTGGAGGGGGGGCTCCCGTTCGCACTCTGAAACATGCACTTCGAGATTCGAAACAGCATGGCCATCGTGTTTTCTTTCTCTCGGATAGCCTCGTCGCCGCCCTGGCTCTTTCGAAGGGGCGCTCCTCGCGGCCGAGGATGGCCCGCGTCTGCCGCCAGTGGGCCGCCCTTGCCGTTGCGGGCGGCATCAGCGCGGTGCTGCGTTGGATGCCCTCGGAGGCGAACCCAGCGGACCTGCCGTCTCGTCGCGCCCTTCGCATTGGTGCCCAGCCCCAGTGGGGCGCCGTCGCCAGTCTGGCCGCCGCGCAGGGGTCTGGCCACGCGAGCGGCGGTAGCCCAGAGCCAGGCTGCGAGGCCGCGGGCGCCGCTGGTGGCGGCCCCCCTGGCGAGGCCAGCGCGGAGACGCCGACGGGCTGTCTACGGCCTGAAGACGGCGGACGACCTGTTGGCGCAGTGGATGGGCCAGCAGTACTCAGGGCTGGAACCCCGAGCGGGGCGCGTACATGCTGGCGGAGTTGAAGGTCATGCTGCCGCAGTTCTCGCGCGGGGGGCTCGGGCTGCCGCAGGCCCTGCAGGCCCCTCGGGGCTGGCGGAGGCGGGTGCCCGCCCGCGCCAGGCCCCCGCTGCCGTTGGAGATCGTGGCGCTGATCGCGGCGAGGCTGATCGACATTGGCCAGCTGCGGGCAGCGATCTACGTGCTGGCGACCTCCGCAAGCTACCTGCGGCCGTCGACGCGCCGTTCCACGGGTTCGTGCCAGCGGCCCTTCGCTTGAGTGTGTGTGTGTGTGTGTGTGTGTTGGAGGCAAACTAGCTTCAACAATTAAAATCAAGAATTTCTAGTAATATTCTGGTCCAGCTCTGATTCAACTCTGGCCCGGAATTCTGTTTCATTTTTGATTTTCTCGAAATTCTGATTTAAGCTTGGTCTGAACTCCGATTTAACTCTGATTCGGCTCTGTCCCCGACCAGAGCTAAATCATAGTTAAATCAGAGTTCCAGACCAGAGCTAATTCAGAGCTTCAGCTAAACCAGAGAGATGAACCAAGGTTTCAGGTCAGAGCCAAATCAGAGTTTCGTAAGAGCGCGCCCGCACGGAACTCAATGCTCGAAAGGGGGACCCAGCTTCAAGCTACCTCCCCCCTTCCTTCGGAAAAGGGGGGGGGGAGCTTCCGAAGCTACCCCCCCCCTCCCTTCTGAAGGGTTTCTAAGCTTAGGGGGGCCCTGGCTGAAGGGGGAGGGGCGGCTTCGAAGCTATCCCCCCCTCCCTCCCTTATCTGGAGCAGAAGGTGAGCCCGGGCTTCCCTTTCAAAGGGGGGGGGGTCGGAAGCCACCCCCACCCCTCCTTCCTTTTTTGGTCTGGACAAGAGGGGGGGCGGCTTTAAACTACCCCCCCATCCTGTGCAAAGGGGGGGACTTCCGAAGCTACCTCCTCCTCCCCTCCCTTCCGGGGCTCTGGCAAAATGGCGGAATCCTTGACGATAGGTGCGCACCGCAGCGCTAGAGAACGAATTGGAGAATAACGTCGACTCCTAGTTCGTTTTCTTGTTTTCTTGTTTTCTCGGCCCCTGGTTCGTAGTCTCGTTTTCTCGGGCCCTGATTCTTTTCATCGTTTTCTCATGTTCTCGGCCCCTGGTTCGTTTTCTTGTTTTCTCGTGTTTTCGGCTCCTGGGTCGCGGTTTCGTTTTCTTTGACCCTGGTTCGCGTTTTTGTTTTCTCGTTTTCTCGGCGCCTGGGTCGTGGTCCAGTTGTCTCGGACCCTGATTCGTTTTCTCGGCCCCTGGATTGTGGTTTTCTTTTCTCGGACGGTGGTTAGAATTATTGTTTTCTCATTGTGTCGGCCCCCGGGTGGTGATCTCGTTTTCTCTGACCCTGTTTCGTTTTCTCGTTTCTTCGTTTTCTCGGCTTCTGGGTCGTGGTCTAGTTTTCTCGAACCAAGCTTTTTCTGGTGATCTCGGCCCCTGGGTCGTGGGTCGTTTTCGCGTTTTCTCATTTCCTCGGCTCCTGGGTCGTGGTCTCGGTTTCTCGGGGCTTGCTTCGTTTTCTCGTTTTTTGTTTTTTAGGCCTTTGGGTCGTGGTCTCGTTTTCTCTGTTCCGGTTCGTTGTTTCGTTTTCTTGTTTTCTCGGCCCCTGGTTCGTAGTCTCGTTTTCTCGGGCCCTGATTCCTTTTATCGTTTTCTCGTTTTCTCGGCCCCTGGGTCGTGGTCGTGTTTTCTCGGACCCTGGTTCGTTTTCGCGTTTGCTGTGGCCTTGGGTCGTGGTCTCGTTTGCTCGGACTTCGTTTTGTTTTCTCGTTTTCTGGTGTTCTCGGCCCCTGGGTCGTGGTCTCGTTTTCTCGACCCCTTGTTCGTAATTTTCTGTTTCGTTTTCTGGGATTTTTTTTTGTGTTGTTTTCTCGGCGCCTGGGTCGTGATCTCGTTTTCTTGTTTTCTCGGCCCCTGGGTCGTGGTGTCATTTTTCCCCGCACCCCTGCTATTTTTTTCGTTTTCTCGTATTCTCGGCCCGTTGGTCGTGGTCTCGTTTTCTCGGATCCCGGTTCGTTTTTTGTTTTCTCGGCCCCTGGATCGTGGTCCCGTTTTCTCGGACCTTGGTTCGGTTTCTCGTGTTCTCCGTTTCTCGGTCCCTGGATTGTAGTTTTGTTTTCTCTCACCCTGGTTCGTTTTCTCGTTTTCTCGGCCCCTGGGTCGTGGTCTCGTTTTCTCGGGCCCCGGTTCGTTTTCTCGTTCTCTCGTTGTCTCGGCCCCTGGGTCGTGGTCTCGGATTCTCGAGCCCCTTCTCGTTTTCTCGTTTTCTCGGCCCCTGGGTTTTTGTTTCGTTTTCTCGGCCCCTGGTTCGTTGTCCTGTTTTCTCGTTTTCTCGGCCCCTGGGTCGTGGTCTCGTTTTCTCTGACCCTGATTCGTTGTCTTGTTTTCTTGTTTTATCGTCTCCTGGGTCGTGGTTTTGTTTTCTCGGGCCCTGGTTCGTTTTCTCGTGTTCTTGTTTTCTCGGCCCCTTGGTCGTGGTCCAGTTTTCTCGGACCCTGTTTTTTTTATATCGTTTTCGCATTATTTCTGCCCCTTGGTCGTGGTCTCGTTTTCTCGGATCCCGTTTCGTTTCCTCGTTTTCGCGTTTTCTCGGCTCCTGGGTCGTGGTCTCGTTTTCTCTGTTCCGGTTCGTTTTCTCGTTTTCTCGGCCCCTGGGCCGTGGTTTGGTTTTCTCGGGCCATGGTTCGTTTTTTTGTTTTCTCGTTTTCTCTGCTCCTGGGTCGTGGTCTCGTTTTTTCTGACCCTGGTTCGTTTTCTCGTTTTCTCTGCCCCTGGGACGTGGTTTCGTTTTCTCTGGCCCCGGTTTGTATTCTCGTTTCTTGTTTTCACGGCGCCTGGGTCGTGGTCCAGTTTTCTCGGACCCTGGTTCGTTTTCTTGCTTTCTCGGCCCCTGGGTCGTGGCTTCGTTATCTCGGACGCTGGTTTGTTTTCTCGTTGCCTCGTTTTCTCGGCCCCTGGTTCGAAGTCTCGTTTTCTCGGGCCGTGATTCCTTTTCTCGTTTTCTCGGCTCCTGGGTCGTGGTTTTGTTTTCTAGGACCGATATTTCTGTTTTCTCGGCCTGGGTCGTGGTCTCGTTTGCTCGTACGGACCTTGGTTTGTTTTATCGTTTTCTCGTGTTCTCGGCCCCTGGGTCGTTATCGTGTTTCTCGTTCATTGTCTCGTGTTCTCGGCCCCTGGGTCGTTCCCGTGTTCTCGGACCCTGGTTCATTGTCTCTTTTCTCGTTTTCTTGGCTTCTGGGTTTTTGTTTCGTTTTCTCGGGCCCTGGTTCGTTTTTTCGTTTTTATCGTTTTCTCGGCCTTTGGGTCGTGTTCTCGCTTTCTCAGGCCCTGGTTCGTTTTCTCGTTGTCTCGTTTTCTCGGCCCCTGGGTCGTGGTTTCGTTTTCTCGGGCACTGGTTTGTTTTCCCGTTGTCTCGTTTTGTCGGCCCCTGGGTCGTGGTCTCGTTTTATCGGACCCTGGTTCGTTTTCGCTCTCTTTCCTACCTCGTCCATCCCCTCCCTCCTTCCTCCGCTTCCCTCTCCCCCCTTTCCATCCTCCCCCGTTCGCGCCCCTCTTCCCCCCCCCTCTCGTACTCAGTTTGTCTCCTTCCTCCGCCCCTTATCCCCTCCCTTGTCCTCCACCTTCCCTCCTCCCCCTCTTCCCGGCCCTCCCTTATCCTCCACCGTCCCTTCCCTTTCCTCCTCTCCCTCCTCCCCTTATCCCCTCCCTTATCTTTCCACCTTCCCTTCTCGCTCCGGCCCTCGCTCCCGCCTTCGATCCCGCCCTCGCTCTCGCCGTCGTTCCCGCCCTCGTTCCCGCCCTCGTTCCCGCCCTCGTTCCATCCTTCGTTTCCGCCCTCGTTCTCGCCTTCGCTCCCGCCGTCGTTCCCGCCCTCGTTCCCGCCGTCGCTCCTGCCCTCGTTCTCGCCCTCGTCCGCGCCTTCGTTCCCGCCTTTGTTCCCGCCCTCGTTCCCGCCCTCGTTCCCGCCCTCGTTCCCGCCCTCGCTTCCGCCCTCGTTCTCGCCCCCGTTCTCGCCCTCGTTCCCGCCTTCGTTCCCGCCTCCGTTCCCGCCCTTGTTCTCGCCCTCGTTCCCGCCCTCGTTCCCGCCCTCATTCTCGCCCTCGTTTCCGCTCTCGTTCTCGCCCTCGTTTTCGCCCTCGTTCCGGGGCCGCCCGGAGGCCCACTGGGGAACCCAAGGGCCGCCCGGCGAAATCAGACTTGAAACAGAGTTTCGGCCAGACCTCAAACAGACTTCGGAGATTCGGCCAGACCTCAAGCAGACCTCAAACATACCGCAAACAGACCTTAATCAGAGTTTGGCCCAAAACAGACCTCAAACAGACCTCAAACAGACCTTAAACAGACCTCAAACAGACCTCGAACAGACTTCCAACAGACCTCCCAGAGGTTCCCCGGAGGTTCCCTGGGGGTTCCCTGGAGGTTCCCTGGAGGTTCCCCGGAGGATCCCCGGAGGTTCCCCGGAGGTTCCTTGCAGGGGTTCCCCGGAGGTTCCCCCGAGGTTCCCCCGAGGCGCCCGGGGAATTCCCGAGGCGCCCGGAGGAATCCCGGAGGCGCCCAGAGGCGGCCCCCCGCCCTCATTCCTGCCCTCGCGCCCCCCCCCTCGTTCCCGACCTCGCTCCCGCCCTCGTTCCCGCCCTCGTTCTCGCCCTCGTTCTCGCCTTCGTTTTCGCCCTAGTTCCCGCCTTCGTTCCCGCCTTCGTTCCCGCCCTCGTTCTCGCCCTCGTTCCCGCCCTCGTTCCCGCCCTCGTTCTCGCCTTCGTTCTCGCCCTCGTTTTCGCCTTCGCGCCCGCTGTCGCTCCCGCCCTCGTTCCCGCCGTCGCTCCCGCCTATGTTCTCGCTCTTGTTCCCGCCCTCGCTCTCGTTCCCGCCCTCGTTCCCGCCTTCGTTCTCGCCCTCGTTCTCTCCCTCGCTCCCGCCCTCGTTCCCGCCTTCTTTCTCGCCCTCGTTCCCGCCTTCGTCGCCTTCATTCGCGCCATCGTTCCCGCCTTCATTCTCGCCTTCGTTCTCGCCCTCGTTCTCGCCCGTCGGCCCCGCCATCGTTCCCGCCCCGGTTCCCGCCCGCGCCTCCGCCGTCTTTCTCGCGATCGTTCCTACCTTTGCGTCTTGTCCCCGCCTTCGTTCTGGCCCTCGCTCCCGCCCTCGTTCCTTCCCTTTTCGCTCCCTCTCTGGGCCCTCTTGCTCGGTCCTCCGACCTCGTTCCCGCCCTCGCGCCCGCTCTCGCTCCCGCCATCCTTTCCCTTTTCCTCCTCCGC